ACAATGATAGTGACAGAAATGAACACCAACAAATTTCTACATTTTCCATAACAAATTTAATAGGTGACAAATTTTCAAAGTGCTTTCAATACCTTATAAAACAATATCAGTCTTCAAACAATAACAAAATCAAATCAATGCTATCCCTTTAAACATCAGTAAACTGAAAACAATATTACACTGAAAACAGATCTTATAGTAATAATCTTATGTAATTAAAATAGGTCATTAAAAAGTACAAAATAGATTATATAAATAATTATAATTCAAAACAAAGTGCATGTTATTGTACAAAATATTTTTAGAAACACCACAATCTATTCTACATGATAGGAATTAATTAAATATAATTTATGTTGTGTGCACTAAAAATAAGGTTATTGGCAACACTGAACAATAAAAAAAAAAAAAAAACCACACTATAACTTATGCTGTATAAAGAGGTACAAGGTAGAAAATCTCAGTTTTATTATGATGGAAACCACAAAATGTAATAATTAAATAATACCAACAATTGAAACAAATATTTACAATGAATCAACAATTCAGTTTCAAAATACTACTGCCATAAAATTATATGTACAGAGGATACAGTGGGCAACATGGGTGATTGCTAGTTTCCTGCACTTCCCATTGCACTAATCTACCAAACTGCTTTACCTCCACTGCACTCTATCAATGCAATGTGAGCTTCATTTTTTTTTTCTTATACTTGAATGGGCAACACAACAATAGCTAGATTTGAGGCAGAACTGCTCAGATCAAGAACATCAGAAATGCTACAATCATTATTAATGATGGTTATTAAAAGTCCCTTCATTTAAAACAGGTAAACATCTCCTTCATTTTCCAAGAGCAAACATCATCAACATGGAATCAACAATTAAAGGAGAACTATGAGGTGAGTAAAAAACACTCATCCTCATAGTTTGAGCCAACGTGTGACAATTACTGACAACTGTCACACGTCGGCTCTTTGGATCGGGAAGAGAGTGAACACATACGGTCACTCGCTCACTTTCCGATCATCTCCCTGCAGAGACCGGTGACCGTCAGCCACCGCTCCCCACAGGGATTCCCCCCCTCCGATCCTCCAATGCTGACTGGAGGAACGGACGGGTAGGGGGCGGGCACAGCTGGCTCTCCCTCTAGATAAGTGGATCTCGACAGCATTATCAGGACCCGTCCCGGCTGCGGCGCTCTTAGTATATTGTGGGCAATAGCCAGCTATATACTGAGCTTTGGGTCCTCCCATGACCCTTAAGAGAACTATGGGATAACAAGGTAACCCCATAGTTCTCTTTGTCTACATCTCCCAATACCCAGTATACATATAGTGAGCTAATTGCGGAGCCCAAGTTTAAAAAATATGCGTTCTGTTCTGTATTACAATACTTTTAATTTTTTTACATACAGTGGCAATACAAACATTACCAATATAATTCAGCTTGTAAACCTTTAGAGCATAATTTCTAATTGCCATAAATATGCTGTTATTTATAAATTACATAACATATTCTGTCATCAAATCTTCATTACAGACCAATATTTAATTTATGAGTAAGAGCTGTACTAGTTTAGACAATGTAGAGATCTGGAGCTGGAACCTTTATTACTCTTTCTTGATACTCACATAACAAGACTTTTACACTGCATTCTACTGTCTGCAAACATCTATGTGAAAATAAACCCCTTTTGAAAATGTCAGTTAAAAAAACCACATGGCCATATTCTAAAATTATATATCAATAGCCCTTTTGAATGTACACCTATTTAATATTCCTTGAAATTATTTTTTTAATGTTTGCAAATATTCTGACTTGACTCTTACTTACATGTTATTGCAGGATGCATTCTACATTTTAATCTGTTTTTTTTCTAATCTTTTGTGTAAACATGTAGCAAAGATCTTAAAAAATATAGACTTGGATTACTTAATAGCCCTGCTAAATTTCAATCATTCTGTATTTTAAAATGTATGCATAGGATACAAACCTTTTCAGGTTTGCAGTCATTCAAGAAAATGTATGAGATTTATAGTCAAACTACTGAGGAAAGCAGAAGGACAAGTCATCATGCAGGGTTACTGCAATCATTCTGAACGATATTTACCACATTATTTTAAGTGGTGCCATGCTGTTTTTTTGTTTGTTTTTTTAAAACAAACTTGTCATTATTGTTCTTTATATCCATATGATAACTTTTTGTCAGACATCTACAGTAAGGTCTCATATACATCAGCACATACATGTGTCTAGTTAGACTGACGTGGTGCCAAGTACACCCAGGAAATGTTTATGATTCTTTAGAATGATCATGGTATAAATATCCATGCTTATTTGGCCAAGCCTGTCTGTTTTGCACAGAACAGACACCCCTGATGCCAACCTTATCTCAGGGACAACAGAGATCATCAGGGAAAACCCATGTTGGACAAATACTTTTCATCCCAAGTTATGTAGGCTGTTTTGAGGTGTCAACATTAAAGACATATGTATTTCATGCTCCGAAACCCTTCCTCAAATTATTCTGTTTAAAAAAAAAAAATCAAAGAATGGGGATATGGATATATTCACCCTTTCTATTAGTGCTGCTTAGGGATGAGCTCAGGTCCTGAACCCAGTCCTAACCTGTGCTTCTCCAAACAAAGAAGAGACATGAGGCGACCTGCCCAATCAGCTGGGAGCCGTGATATTCCCTGCCCAAAAATGCACATACACAAAAGGGGCGGGATGCTTATGTTGACATCATTGAACATATATGGCCACATGTAGATGCCTTAGGCTGTTCAAAGGTTTTGTCCGAACCAGAGCTCAACTCTAGTCATGGTAATCATTGACATGTGGGCATAAAGCAAAAATCCAAAATGTTACAGCTGTTCATGAAACCAGATTAAAAGTAAATCTTCCAAAGGGGGCACTGTGCCGGTGAAAACTATCTAAGAGGGGATTTCTCCTCACTTTTAATAGAGTTTCACTCACCTCTGTTGTGTCCAAGACAGGCAGTGAAATCTCCGTTATGGGACACAGACAGCAAAAGAACAGCCTAATAGATGTTCATAGGGAAGATGTACCCTTCCCTACTTTATCCAAAGCTAGTGATGACTTTGGATACACTCATTACAAAGGTAAGCCAGGAAAAATTCTAGCAAGCCTTAATAGCTTGCTAGAATTTTCACCAGAATTAAACATGGTAGTTTGACAAAAAGTTATATTCTTAATGTACAAAAGAGCAGGTTTAACATGGTTATGTTTACACCGTAATCCAAATGACCATCTTGGGCATTGTTTTTATTACTGGCAAGCTTTGTACAGTTTAAATTGTTTTAACTGTACATTTACATATGGAAGATTTATGTTTACCTTCCAATTTAGCTTTATTTACTTTATCTGAGCCTGACACTTTTGCTTTAGTGTCGGGGTAACTAGAAGTCTGCAGTTGCAGAGAGTCAAGCTGGCCATAGACTGGTTGATTTTCGTATGAATGTTCATACAAAAAAAACGAGACAGAACATTCGTGAATGCCACCAGAGACTTGAAAAATGTTGTTTGAAATGTCATTTCATTTGATATTGGATTTCAACTTTTGGAATCAAAGGAGTTTTCAGAAGAAAAAACACATTAAATGTTAGAATTTCATTTGTTAGAGAAAAAGTTTGCAATTTTTTTCGCCACTTTGCTCAAAAACTATCATCCATTTGACCCCATTAGCTATTTTTTTTTTAAAGAAAATTGTACTCTCAAGTCAGAAAATCTCATATCCAGAGAGTGCATAAAAAGTACCAGAGCCATGCAGTTTTTGTTGCATCCCTCTTAAGGCCTGTGCTGGAATACTGACTTTGCCATGTCTCAGGATTTGGGAGGCAGTGGGGCTGATTTGCTAAAGGACATGCATACACTGATGCATCAATTGTGTATGGACAAGCAAACTGTAATTTGTGCACATGCTGCAGTCTATATACACCATAGTTTGCTATAAAATGCACACTCCAGAATTGTTTGGGTTTATCTAACTGCTAGTAGCATTTTTAAATGCGCATGCCATGTAGAAATAAAACCACATCAAGTATGCATTGCTTCTTAACGCTTGTGACCTGTATGGAGGGGTATTATATTATGCATGTGTGTATCTGTGCACACATAAGCAGAACTTCAAGCACTAGCTGAGATTCCATATGGGGGTGCTTGAAACAGAGATTGTAATAATAATTACCCATAGATACGCTGCTTCTTTTCCTATAACATAGTGTACATGGTTTGTTGACAAAGCACTTAGCTTGGCATATGCGCACTTTATTGCTTACCAAGCTGGTTACATTATTTTGTATTTTTAAGTAAAGTGTTGACGTGCCAAGTCAACTAGATAGTTTCCGGGATAAGGAACGCTGTGTGTGCGACTGTAGGTACATCCCTGTGCACAATGCCCACAATGTAAGTATTTATTAATAATTTATCCTTTTACTTGTTTATTTCATTTAGTACATTGGCTCCAGTGTGTAAGGTCAAGCAGTTGAGAGAACAATTGTCAGACTTCAGGTAAAATCTGACCCGTGACATAAGGATCTCTATGTTCTGCAATTAGCTAAAAATAGACTATTTGTTTAATAAAACATTATTTACCGCAAAAGCATGCATTGCAACCTTTGAGTCAGGCTCTAACAAAGTTATTAGAGCCAAATATTAGGTATTTCAAAACTGCACCAGCACGGTTATTATTAAAGACTAACAGGGTTATTCACAGAAGGGTGAAGAGTTTGGAGAAGGCAGGAGAAGTGATCAATCTAGGACAACTTAGCTGAACTGGAAAGTGAGCTGAATTGGAGAATTTATCAAAATCAGCTATTTTGGCCTAGATTGTTCACTTTTCCTGCCTTCTCCAAACTCTTCACCGTTTAGTGAATAACCCTGTAAAAATTCTTGCATGAGCCTAATTTTGACCGGTTCTCTTTAACACTGTTGTGGTGTACATAACTTAGGACAAGATGAAGAATGGCCAGTGAAAGACGTAAAGGTAAATTCACAGACATGGTCTTGACTCTCATTCATCTGGCTCAAATGCAACGTTTGTCTTCCCAACTGTAGGTGATTGTTTAAAACTGGTCTTTTTTGGTTTAACACTGTGATCCAGTCTTGGTAGATCCCGTTCAGAACCCACAGATCCAATCAGAAATGTTCCTGGCTGTGAACTTAGATCAGGTGATTTTGTCATCTGTCGTGCTTTCTGCCTTGTTCTGATAAAGGGAGTATGGACAAATACATTTTAGAAGGAAATATATAACAAGAATGAGACAATTTGCATCATTTCAAAACATTAATATTTATTTTCAGAGCCCAACTTCAGAAAAAATGTATAACTTTACATTTAGTTTTAGATATAATGTGAGCGGGATGTGCTGTTATAAGGGAGATTTGCCCACACTATCAAGGCAGGAATTGATAGGAAACCTATTCAAAGGGCTGGAGGCAAAAACAGATTTTAGTAAAGTAAGGAAGAGTGAGGACCCCTAATGAAGATGTTATTGTTGTCTGCGGCATCCTGCCTTGGTGACACCTAAACCCCCCCCCCCCCCCCATTTTTCCTTTTTG